ACCAAGATAAATTTCACAAAACTCCTCTTGCGTAACCATGACAACCCCAGCTCTTCTCCCCGTACCCTCTGACACGCTGTACAGTCTGTCTTTTCAAACCCCACCCCCCACCCCCTTTAGGGCAGATGACCACTATTTTTACCCCAGTCTCTCTTAGTCGGACGGTGTTGCGTTTCTGGGCTACTGTATCCCCTTACCCCTCCCCACCACCTTCAGGACCCCCCCCCAACGCCCCCCACCCTCACCTAACACCCCGCCACCCTCGGGACCCCCTGACAGGCCGCGCGTCGTAAAGAAATATGGGCAGGGGGCTTAAAAAAGAGCCGTGCCATTGTGTCGCTCGCAGCACCCTTGGGAGAGTTACATAAGCCTTATTTGGGAGAGGGAGAGTCAGGGTTTTAAATATGGATATGAGAGACAATGGGTGCTATAAGACACGTTACCACTGATGTTAGGATTTGATCAGGTATTTACTATGAATGATGACTGACACTGACTGACTTTTGAATACACAAAAGGGGTAAAATGTAAAATAATATACAGTGGGTTAGGAGTAAGAAATGACTTGAGTATGTTATCTTGACTTGAGTACAGTGTCAATAAAATAATCCATATAAGACATAAAGCTATATAAGATAAAATATGACCTTTTTTTCTCTTAATTTGAGCAACATAAGATTTTTTTTTTTTTATTGTCAAGGAGTTTAAACCAGGACTAAACAAGGTCTAAACCAGGACTAAACCAGGTCTAAAAGAGGACTAAACTAGGTCTAAACTAAGACTAAACCAGGTCTAAACCAGGACTAAACAAGGTCTAAAATAAGACTAAACCGGGTTTAACCCAGAACTAAACCAGGTCTAAACCAGGTTTAACCCAGAACTAAACCAAGGTCTAAATGACGACTAAACCAGGTCTAAACTAAGACTAAACCAGGACTAAACCAGGTCTAAACCAGGACTAAACCAGGTCTAAACCAGGACTAAACCAGGTCTAAACCAGGTCTAAACCAGGACTAAACCAGGTCTAAACTAGAATTAACCAGGACTAAACCAGGTCTAAACTAAGACTAAACCAGGACTAAACCAGGTCTAAACCAGGACTAAACCAGGTCTAAACTAGAATTAACCAGGACTAAACCAGGTCTAAACTAAGACTAAACCAGGACTAAACCAGGTCTAAACAAAGACGAAACAAGGTCTAAACTAAGACTAAACCAGAACTAAACCAGGTCTAAACTAAGACTAAACAAGGTCTAAACCAGAACTAAATAAAGTCTAAACCAGGTTTAAACCACGTCTAAACCAGGTTTAACCCAGAACTACACCAGGTCTAAACCACGACTAAACCAGATCTAAACTAAGACTAAACCAGGTCTAAACCAGGACTACTAAACCAGGACTAAACCAGGTCTAAACTAAGACTAAACCAGGACTAAACCAGGTCTAAACTAAGACTAAACCAGGAATAAACCAGGACTAAACCAGGTCTAAACAAAGACGAAACAAGGTCTAAACCAGGTCTAAACCAGGTCTAAACTAAGACTAAACAAGGTCTAAATTAGGACTAAACCAGGTCTAAACCAGGACTAAATAAAGTCTAAACCAGGTCTAACCCAGAACTAAACCAGGACTAAACAAGGTCTAAACCAGGACTAAACCAGGTCTAAACCAGGACTAAACAAGGTCTAAACCAGGACTAAACCAGGTCTAAACCAGGACTAAATAAAGTCTAAACCAGGTCTAAAACAGAACTAAACCAGGTCTAACCCAGAACTAAACCAGGACTAAACCAGGACTAAACCAGTCTAAACTATGACTAAACAGGAGTCAAGGAGTGTAACTAAACTCACATCTGTAAACTGGACAAATATTTCACTGCTCATCCAACTTCAGGACTGCCTATATATGAAGGGAGGAGCTAAAAACTGAAACTAACACAAATATTTGTTTACAGTTTCTGTAAAAGTCAAAAACAGTGTCTAGAACTCTCCTCTCAGTTGTTTTCTCTGGCTAAGATCTGGACCTCACTATCCTCAAAGGAGTATTTTATTTGACAATTAAAATATTAAAATCAAAAGTATTCTCAAACGTGCACCATGACGATTAGGGGTGTGCAAAAATATCAACATATTGATATATTGTATTGTTTAATGTGATGATAGAATAGATGATATAGATGAATAGTATTGATATCATGGGCTGCCCTATCGATATATCGCCAAGAGTATTTTTTGGTATATTTTACTAAATTATTTTGTTACAGCTACAGTTTTGTTGCTTGTTCAGAAGAAGGAATCTCATTTATGCAACACATTTGACATTTTCACTGTTTTGATCAGACAATAGGTCAGTTACATTCCTTGTATCTGTTGTTTCTTACCATTGTCTGTATCCTTAACATTACCATTGTTGGTTTGTTTATGTTATACTATACCAGCTATAACAGTTGCTCTTTGCCTGCACTTGTAAATAGTTCATATAGTTCAATTCAAAATGTCTGAAAAACGCAAAAGTAAGCTCATTGTGTTAGACTAGAAAAGTGGGGGTGGGATTAAATACATTTTCTTCTTCCCACTCCTTTTTGGGAATTTTTTTTTTTCAGTTATTTTCGTTTCTATTATGATTTCACTTATGTTATATGTTCCATGGTATAAGAATGTCAATTTTTACTTGCCCAAAATAAATGCATAAAATAAAAAATAAATAAATAAAATAAGAGTTGTTTCATATTCACTTTGCACAAGAAGTGGTTTAACAAAAACTTTTAGTATCACAAACATCATATGGAATCGATTTGAAATATATCGTATCAAATCAAAAGTGCACTGTATCGAGCTATGCATCATATCGTTGTCTGTGTATCGAGCTATGCATCATATCGTGGTCTGTGTATCGAGGTATGTATCGTATCAGCAATGTCTAAATGATACCCAGCCCTAGTGATGATAGTATTGGTTTACCCTGAATGTTCCACAGTATGACAATAAACTTGTAGCTTGCATTTACTCAGTTACAGGTGTTTCTTAAAAAAACATAAAACACGCATTCTTACTGTGAGTGAGAAGCAGGATTGCCTCTCCACAGATCTGACTTGTAACTTGGTCTAGTTACGGTGACATCTCCTGCTTCTGTAAACATGTATAAACATGTCTAAGCAGAACCTCAGAAAACTTTTTCTACCTTTTTATTAGTTTTATGTTTTTTCACTGATACTTGTAATACATTTGTGTTTCTTACACTGCACGACTATTTATTTATATCTTAAGGAGAATTATTTGAAAACGTTTTAAAATTTTAGAGCCAACCTGTAATTGTAAATTTTAGAGCCAAACTGAACTTTTTTTTTTAATTAATTTTTTTTTTTTTTTGGAAAAAAACATGAATATATTATTTTGAATTTATGGTTCTTTTACTCCAGTTATATTTGGGTTCTTTACTCGAGTGTTTGTCACAATACCAACATTTCAACTCAATTTCAATACTAAGGAATAGACTTCTCAGACACTCAATTGTGATTCTGATACCACAATGATAATAATAATAAAAATCTTTACTTAGATAACAGAATGTGATTTTCAACATTAAATCATAGTACTTTATTTTATATTGTATTTTACATATGTGGCCTTATATGTGTGTAATCCCTCAGTGGTGCAGGTAGGTTCCATAGTGTCCATGGGTCTATACTAGTCTATGTGCTCTTATATTTGACCTGATACAAGTTCATTCTAAAGACATTCAGGAGAGCTTCATTTCTGTCCTGTCAATGTGACTTTTTTAATCAATACCTGCTCAGATGAGTTTCTAGTTTTAATGTTAGTTTTTGTAAGGCTGACAATGTCCGCAGAGGGCATATGTGTGAGAAAATACCTTACAGCTTCAGAGGTTAGGAAGAAGAAGGACCAGGTCAGTTCAAGTTGACTGCAGTAAAAGAGGCCCTGCACCTGTTCACAGAAACTTTGAGCTCTGGTGGTCACCTGTCAGCGTAAAAACATGAAGAGACTAGACACAGGAGCCAGGACAGACAGGCTGGACAATGCAAGAAGTAAGTAAAAACTAATATATTTTCAAAACAATAGATTTTTTGAGAATGAGAATGTAAGACTAAACTAGAGCTAAACCAGGATTAAAGATGGACTAAACAAGGGCCAAACCAGGATTTATTCTTGGCAAAATGAAGACCGCAGAAGGACTGAACCAGGACTAAGTCTGGACTAAATTAGAACCAAATGAGAACAACAGATGAATAAAAACAAGACTCAAGAGGAACAAAATTATAAGTGTGTATAAGAGTGATATGGAGTCTTTAAATATAAAAGATAAGATAAACCAAGGCCAAACCTTGACTAAACCAGGTCTAAACCAGAACTAAACCAGGACTAAGCTAAGATCAAGCATAGTCTAAATGAGGACTAAACCAGAACTAGACCAAGATCAAGTTTAGTCTAGACCAGGACCAAACTAATAATAAACCAGGACTAAACCAGGTCTAAACCCAAACGAAACCATTACCAAAACTAGTCTAAACCAGAACTAAACCAGAACTAAACCAAAATTAAGCATAGTCTGAACCAGGTCTAAACTAAAAATAAACCAAGATCAAACCTAGTCTAAACCAGGACTAAACTAGAACTAAACAAGGTCTAAACAAGGACTATACCAGATCTAAACTCGGTCTAAACCAGAACTACGCCAAGACCAAACATAGTCTAAACCAGAACTAAATTAGTGCTAAACCATGTCAAGACCAGAACTAAACCGCAAACCAAATCCAGTCTAAACCACAACTAAACTAGTAATTTACCAGGACTACAATGGACTAAACCAAGCCACAAAATCAGGTCCACACCAGGTCTAAACCAGGACTAAATCAGGTGTAAACCAAGACTAGATCAGAAATGAACCTTTCCGAAGAGATAAATAACAAAAGAATTGATCTAAATAAAAGGGGAGGGTGCCTGTTTTCTAGACATTTCTCAAACAAACTTAAACTACACATGAAGAGTTTTACAAAGTCTAATTTATTTCCTTAGACAATGCAAAAAACAATAACTTAACCTTGTGCTATAGTTTCAGAATGTTTCATCCATATGTTTTCATCGACATAAAAACATGCCCAAATTAGAATTTCACCTATTTACAAAAATGACCAAGTATACACAAATACATGCACTTTTGAAGTACATTTTTCAGTTTGTAGACCTAGTAGTAGTAGTAGTAGTAGTAATACCTATTTGAGAAGTACAAGCAGGAACATGGCACATACGATAAAGCATCAGCCCAAACCCAAAAGTGTTTCAGTAGAATATTTTTGTCTCATAAACTGATCTGAGTACTATTTCACTGTGTGATAGTTTAGTCCGTGTTGTCAGTTGTCGGTTTGGTCTTTTTTAACGGTTACACCTCAAACGCGGGGAACTTTGCTCTTATTGGCTGCAGCAGGTCGGCCAGGAAGTAGATGGTACCGGCCATACCTGGAAACAAACACAAGAGGATAAGTTCAAATGACATATGTACATTTTAAGCAAGACATTTTTAAAGCTGCACTATACACTTTTTCTGGAGTGAATATGTTGCGTAGTACGGCATTAAACATATCTATCTATCTATCTATCTATCTGGAGACAAGCTACTTACAGGTCAGATCTGTGGAGAGGAGAACCTGCTCACAGTCTTTCATTGTATTTTATAAAAACAGCTGTAACTGCTTAAATACTATAGATTTTAATGCCATGCTGTGGAACATTTTAAGCAAAGTAACCACCACTACCACCACCAAAAAGTATTTCATTATTATTATTAGTAGTAGAATTTAATTAATGTATTTTGTTTTTACAAAAAAAAAAAAAAAAAAAAAAAAAAGATTGGACTTAAATTTTTCTGAATAAATAATGTTTAGTTGTGACTTGATAATATTTATATCTAATAATCTTCATTGAACACTGCTAAAGCCTTGTAGTAAATTCTAAAGCCACAGAACTAGTGTAAACAGTCACATGGTAAACTGCTGCCCCCTTGTGTTGGGCTGTAGAGTTGCCATCAGCTTGCTACAACTGGTGCAGAAAGTGTATGAAAAATATATTTCATTGAACTGATACAAAAATAATAGCAGCAACTTATATACAGTATGTGTGCATTTTGATCACATTGTGTTACCCTAATGAAGGTTGTGTAGATATGATTTGCAGACTTGGTTCCAGTCATGGGTTAAATCAGTATTTACTTCCTCCCACTCCCTTTTGGTCATAAAACAAACCATGTGTGACAACTGCTTTTGTTTTAGTGATAAAACGAAAGATTAGGGATGGAAAAAGGTCTTGTACCACAAGATCTCACGTGACAAAACTGCCACAAGACTGTGCAGACATGAGACAAATTATCTTGGGAGATTTTTTCCCCTGAATTTACTTTTACCTTAGACAAAAAAGAGTTAAGAGCTAGTGAGTTATTGTAAAACTGATTGCACTACTTATTTATTGCAAATTACATCAAAATATCAACTTCTCGTGGACCTAATCTCATGTTGTCTTGTCTTGTGAAAAGTGTGTCTCATCCCACCCCATTACATGTAAGATATATGTATTTTCTGTATTATACATATATGCATTTATGTTATTTTTCTATGCACGTTCTATGCATTACTGTTTGAATTAACATGCACTCATTTATTCAGTACGGTATTATAATTACTATCCTTCATACATTCAATTTAAACATTTTCATCTCCAAAATAGACTTGAATCATCTGCTTGTATCCATGGAGACTGATAAGTGTTATGCTATTTTGTGCAAACATTTGGTGGTTTCTAAAGGGGGTTTCTAACATTACATTGTGTCCCTTTAATATTTGAAACTATACAATGCAACAATTATGAATGCATTTTTCCACGCGCCTCCAATGCACCGCTTGTTTAATATTCAAAATCCTCCTAACATAACTGTGATTCCTGTCAATTTAATTTCATATGTACTCATTTATATTGATGTGGCTGTAGCTGTGGTCCCTGGAGCTCTGTGGCTGCTATGTGAGGATGTAATCGCTGACAGGACTGTGTAAGAGGCGGTCAAAATGTGTTACCTTCAAACAGGGAGAAGGGAGTGTCAGGGGTGCGACAGCCGTGCCTGCCGTAGTTCATACACCAGTCTGCAAACTGTGGAGAGAGGTACAGGGGGACAGAGAGAGACACAGAGAGTGAAAGATAAAAGGAGAGAGAGAGGAGGGAGAGAGTGAGTGAAACTATCATTCTGTTACAATCACTCTAGATCTTTAGTTAGCAGGCTGTGGAGGTTTCTCTCACCATGCAGGCGCGGTACAGGTGCTTGGGGTCCCCCGTGTGGCGATACAGAGACAGGAAAGTGTAGGCGTTGCCAGCGGCTCCGTGGCAGAGGCCGTAGCCCTTTTTGAGCAGGCCGTACCTCCACACCACCTCCCCACACTGCAGAGCGTCCTCCAGGTAACCAGGGCCTCCAAACACCTACAGGGAGAGACACATGAACAACAGGTCTGGAGCAGTGTACTTCTGTATCATATTCATCTACACACACAGTGTTTTTAGACCAGAACCAGTCAGTTCATTAATCTAATCGAGTCATATTTTAAGTAAGAATGCCTAACAAAATATCAAGTTTCAACTATTTTTACTCTTTGCTTGAAAAGATATAGAAAAGATAAGAAAATCAAAGCTCTTGTCCTCACTGGTTTGGAAAAGAAGTAAATGATGTCATAGGTCAGACCACATAAATTATATTATATTATACTTGATTTAAATTTATTGAAACTCACATTCTGTCCAGGGACAACAAATGAGAAATACCCTTCTGACTAACTCTGACATTTGTACATGTAAATGTTTCATGTGCATTGTCCCTGAAGTAAATACTGAATTGTTTGCATCAGCATGCCCCATTATGTCACACTAATAAACAGTAATATCTGTATGGCAGCTGAGACAAAAAAAATTTCAAATAAAATAAAAAACAGTGCTATCAAACTATTTAAAAATCAGATTAATCACACTTTTGAGAAATTATTAATTGCGATTCACTGCATTGCGCGCTGATTTTAAAGTTAATTTATTGACATTTGAGGTCCAACTGGCCCCTGTTCAGTTTGATAAAGTATTTGGTCCATATTACTTTCTTTAGTGCTCACACGTGACCTTTATTTTTCTCACAGAAGGTAAGCTGTTTAATCTGAGATCTGCGCAGCATCTTTGATTTAATCTGACACGAGGAGCTGCTACCCTGTCTACTGAATCACCTTTATACGTTGTGTAGTATTTTACAAAGTATTAAGGATGCCCATCAAGTGTAGAAAACTTTTTGACGCAGTATTCTGGGTATTACCTTGTAGGCCTGCAGCAGCATGTACACTACCCCCGGAGAGCCGTGGCACCAGTGCACCAGCAGGTCCCGCTCATCCCCCACACACGGAGGGTAGTTTCCAGAGGGGAACTTCAGACCACACACATAGTCCACACTGGGCTTCACCAGTCTGTGCAACTGCTCCACCGAAGACACCAGCCCGGGCTGACAGACAGGGGGCAGTGTTAAAAGTGTCAATAATCAAGGTCAATCACAATGCAAATCAGTTATTATGTAATGTACATTTCTGGTAGCCTTGCCAGTAAGTTTGTGAATTCATAAGCTCTTGAGAATCTCTTGTTCAGCTCCACTAGTGTTTGCATGTGACACACTGATCAATCACAGAGCAGCATTATGGTTTGGGGGAAAGCCAGCGCCAAATCAACCAAAACAAACACGCTGATGCCGACAGATGTACTTCAGCCTATTTTCACACAGGGAAGATGTCTGATGCTCTGATCATTCCAGTCCCTTTCAGTGAGTCAACCCAGATTCATGTGTAGAGCTTTATTCAGAAGGCTGCACATGTCAGTCTGGTGAGAGTCTTTTTACATTTGTGGTGCACCAACTATACAGGCAACTTTTCAATCGCATTTATTTCACCACAGGCTCGTATATTAATAACAGCTATCGTTATTTTGAGGTATTGTACACTGAAACAAGCATTCAGCTTCCTTTTTGTATTGCCAAAATGTTAAAAGTTAAAGGTGCACTGCATAATTTCTAGTGGAGTGGCTTTTGTCTAATTTTCCATACAAGCAGGTTACAGAACAATGCTACATTACATTAAGTCAGATCTGTGGAGAGGCGCCCCTATTCACAAAAATAATTATTGTATTTTTTGAGTATGTTTTATTGAAATGTGTTTTCAAGTGCCCAATTGCAAAAAAAAATAAAAAAATAAATAAAATAAATAAATAATAATTGTTAAAATAATTCTTTATTAATGAGATAATTACTGAATTGTAATGCAATGAAATGAAAATTGGCTTCATATTTATACTAAACTATATTGGTAAAATAAAATAAAATAAAATAAATTGGGAAAAGCACATACCTCAACTATGGTACTGATCAAATTTGTTTAGGCGATTGTTTTATAGGATAATACATATACTAGTGGAATGTCCGCCACCTGCTTGTCCCCATGGAAATATTATTGCTTTGTCTAGAATGTTCCACACAAGCACATGACAGCACTATGCTATATTACAAGTCAGATCTGTGGAGAGGCGCGCTTGTTCATAGAAGGAATTATTGTATTTTTGAGCAATACAAACATCCATAATGAATAAATGCTGGATGGATATGTTTAAAGTCATACCATGGAGCATTCCAGGCCAAGCAATAACATCTCCACGGAGCCAGGTAGATACTGAACTAGACCCTCCACCAGAAAAGCTGCGCAATGAACCTTAATGTTACAAATGCAATGAGAAAAGGCCACAATGGTGAAGTTTGACAGAGTCTATTGTAAGAGTTTACTTTTGGGAAATGCTGTAATAGGAGGTGGACTTGTAACTCGTCGTGTGATATAAAAGATGATTGAGCACATTTTTCACAAGTGTCCAAGAAGCACCATAAAAACAAGTTTCTTTTCTGGAATTTATAGCTGGCCCTGGCTGTTCGGAGGTAACCCCAGGAGGATAACTGCTGAGCACAAACTTCTGTCACAAACACTAAAACTTGGATTTTCTAGCACAGTTGAAGTAAAATCAGGGTCATTTTGTGTTGTACTTTTTGACCCAGCTGATTTGTGTAGAGTTCAGATTTGTGAAGATTTATTTTTTGACAATTACAATTACACTTTGAATTTACAATTTGAATTGATCTATGTAACTTTTTGGCTAGGGGTCTGGTTCTAAGGAGATGTCATTACTCTGCCTGGAATGTTCCACAGTATGACATTAAACAGATCTACTTCACATGTATTCAATTCAATTCAAAATACTGAGAAAAACAGGGAATCTAACTGAGTGGAGTTGACTCTCCACAGATCCGAGCTGTAACTTGGTCTGGCTTGGTCTCCATAAAGATAGAGAGGTTCATTTTAAACATTTTGCAGTGATCCAAAGTTATTCCTGACTTACTTTATGCATTCAGAGCATCCTCAGTATACAAATTATCCTAGTATATTAGTGTGTGGTAAAGCTCTGCACGGGACTGAATTTTCTGTCCCGCTACCGCCTGCTCCCACAAAAAATTGTAATTTTCAGTCCCGCTCCTGCCTGTATCTATGATATTTTGTCCTGCTCCGGCCTGCGAGTCCTGCAAGAAAGGGACGTTCGCTTTCTGAAGCTCTATCAAACACAGAGAAGCGGAAAGGAATTCTCTAAAATGCGCACGAGATTAGACCACATACACAAATTTGGGCTGCTTAAAATGTTTTTATTAATGCCAAATAAAATATCCAGCACAAATGATGTATGATAGGCAAACATTCATCTTTTGTATATTTTACTTTACACTCATATTTAGTTTGCGGGACTGCAGTTTATCATCCCACCCGTCCGCTCCTGTGTTGTGCAGTCCCACTCCCGCCCACGCCCGCAATGAGCTTTCAAAATGTGTCCTGTGCTGCACTGTTCTGCATCAGGTCCCACGGGAGTGCAGCGCTCTAGTGCTGTTTATACAATATATCTATACTGGAGCAAAACTGATTTTACTTTTTTTTTTTTACACTGATTGTTGTGTCTTGACTTGTGTTGACACAGCCTTGGGATGATCCACTCTCCTCTCCAGGGTAGTATTATGTCTTAGTCTGTCTTAGCCTATGTATTTGCATCGTTCATGTGCCCTTTGCCCCCCGGTGGAGTATAAAAACTTTGTATGCACTGTTATGGTTACAGATCAGGGACAGACTCTCTGTCAGGGACACGACAGGCTGCAATTGTGGCCACAACTGCTTAAAAAATCTGATTCCTTGATTCAAAACAACTTCTCAGTTTATTTTATTGATTATAGTATAGAAATTCTTGGAAAACCATTTGAAATTTCATGTGAATTTGAAGTTACATTACAATCAAAAAAATTATATTATTTAAAGATGCACTATGTGACTTTTTGGTTTCCTTGTTTCTATGGATATGTCATTGCTCTGCCTGAAATGTTCCACAGTATGGCATTAAACAGCTCTACTTTACCTTTATTGAACTACAGGTTGTTTTACGGGTCAAAATACCTTGAAAAAAGTTACACAATACACCTTAAAAGACGCTGTACCTGGTTTTTATTATCTTAATCTATTTTATTGGGTTCAGCCCCTTTAATTTTAGGATTATACAGAGTTTGGAAAGTCCTGGTTGGAATTTTTCTTGTTCCTTGACACAGACTTTTATATGAAAATAATTGAAAACACTTTGAAAACCATTTGAAATTTAATGTGAATTTAAAGTTATTAAAATATAAAATATATTATTATTTAAATGTGTTTTCAAGTGCCCATTTGCTCAAATGGGTTTCAAGTGCTCATACAGGTCAGATCTGTGAAGAGGCGGCCCTGCTCACAGTAAGAATGCATGTTTTTAAAAGGTATTTTTGAACAATAAAAACACTCATACTTGAATAAATGCTTCTTATATAAGATACCGTATTGTGGAAAATTACAAAATCTCCATGGTGTTACGCAGTACACCTTTAATAAGATAACTACTGAATTGTAAGGTAATGAATCTAAAATTAGCTTGATAATTATACTGTCATCAACTAGACCTGTAAATCACAGACCACAGCTATTGTGTTGATCAAATTTGTTTAGGTGATTGTTTTTTAAGCTAATACATATACTAGTAGTACCAAAAGTGTTTGGATATTTGTAGTACCTGCATGAGGAAGTAGTAAATCCCTGCCAGCCCATGTGCCGCCCCCACATACTGCTCCTGGTACCACTCGAACATGAGCGGAGTCTGGTTTTGAACCCTCAACCTCCTGCTCTGACGGTCTCCGGACACTATCACCGCCTCACAAATCTGCACACAGAAATACAAAATGTGAGATTATTCTGTGAAAAAGCTGCTAACCCTGTAGTTTAGACCTCTACAAAAATATTATGAAATGTCCCTGTGTTGATATTGAAAAATAAATTGGAAATCTAATCGCAGTAGAAGTTGGGTCTGTCAAATTGTTTGAAGCCCATGTGAGAAATAGCAGATCTGTACCTGTTGGATGTAGTCCAGTGGTATCTTGTCCTGTCCAAACTGCTGGTTGATGAAGAGGAGGGAGAAGAGGAAACCCATACGTCCATACAGGAGCTCATCAGGCAGACTCCCAGAACCCTTCACCACCGTCTCATGGTACTGCATTAGTCTGGACAACAACACAGAAAAATGATTACAAAACACTTTAAATGTGAAAAGAAAAAAAGGAGAATAAGTCAAAATGTCACATAAAAAGTTCACTACGACATAAAAAAATTGTTGCAAACTAAGAATGGTGTAAGAATATGTGCCTACAATTACATCATAAGGGTACATTGAATAATAAACAATTAATAACAATTTGTAGTCTTTTAATTAATTCATTGCATTTATATACCAATAATTGCATTTATACAGCACCTTTCAAGATACCCAAAGCGCTTTACAGTTCATTATTCATTCACTCAACAATCAGTGGTGGTAAACTACTACTGTAGCCACAGCTTTTTTCTTATTATTTTGGTCTAGTTTTGTTGTTGTCTGTCTAGTATTAAACAGGTCTGTGCTCTGACCTGTTGATGCAATCATCAGCCTCCTGGGGCCTCTCGAGTCTGTGATAGACCACAGCAGCCACAGCCAGGGGCCCTGAGTCCCCGCACAGGAAGGTGACATCATGGCGCCGTGTGAGGTTCTTGAGGGCTTGGCTCACGTACTCCAGAGCTCTGTGCAGGAAGGATGAGTCACTGAACACTCTGTGTAAGTGCAGGTACAGCAACGCGATGCCTGTGCCACAGGAGACAGGGAGATGTTAGAGCTGGGCTGTATGACAAATACTGTAGCACTACTGTGTAATGATGGATTCATCACAATGCAAAATGTGATGATGCACTTGTGCACATGTCACAAAGTCACCATGTCAAACTCAAAGGCGAACTCTGAAAACAATATTTGACCAAAGCCATGTCTTGATAGTGCACTCTCCTACACACTTAAGTGCATATGACCTGCACAACACCAAAGATGCAGGGTGTTGCAGGGATGCAAGGTGCATCTGACTGAATCGTCACATTTCAGAATCGCCACATTTCTATCACTGATATCAATATTATGTCAATATATGCCCCTCCTTCCTGCAGACACACCTGTCCAGCCGGTGTAGCTGGTGCAGTCTCGGGGGTCCGCAGACTTGAGTCCATTCTCCATCACAGACAGAAGCTCATTCACTTTACTACTCAGCCTCTGAGAGAACTCTGGAGTCAGCTACAACACACACAACAACAGTTATCTTTACATGTTAGGCTACTTTTATTATTCTATGTTGTATAATTCATGAGCTCTCACCCTGCCCTGGGAGTCAAACAGGGACTGTGTAGAGGCAGGGTTACCATCATAGTCCGAGTATGGGTTTCTCAAAGCGCGTGTGTCCATTTTCTGTGGAAAGTAACACATTATTACGGGAAGAAACAATATACATCACCAGACAAAAGTTTGGACACACCCTCTCATTCAGTGTCTTTTTTCTTTATGATTACTACTTTCTACATTTTATATACATGCAGAAGAAATCAATTATATGATGCAATATTCTAAATGAGATATTTCCCTATAGAGTCATACTGTCCCCATTGCTCCATTTGAAATTTTAGCACCATGATTGTACAACGTGAACACATTTATACGAGTGAAGAGAGGCCAGCGAGAGGCACCAAGCTGGACATAAAATGAAGAGTTATGGATCTTATAAGACATAATAGACCCTTTTGTTGATGTTATGTCATCACAGTGTTCAAGATAACATTGTTTCCTATTGATTACATTGTGCTTTGCCACGAAATAGCCAAAGGATAAATTAAAACAAATGTTGAACCTGATCATTACTATTTCATTTCTAGTGACTATACCCAAAACTCTGCATTGTGTTGTGATGTCATCTCATCTGTTATCAATTTTGTCCAATAAAACCTAAAATAAAATAAATAAACTAAATTAAATGAACAATGAATGCAAATTACAACTGCAAACCAGGCTATGGCATAATTCACGTGTATCTGATTGGTTTCATTTGCAAAAACCATATTGTGTTTTCATATTTGTGATAGTTTTGAAGCTAATCCTAGTTTCTCCACTGAAATTAAATTATGTTACATTTAAATTTAGAATATTTTGTACCTAAAAATGTCTATAAAACTGCATAAAACATCAGCTCTATTCTGCAGGGAGCGGTGCACGCGCCCACCAAAACAATAACAAATCTGACAGCTAGCTAGCTCGCTGTAGCACGTTAGCTTGGCCTTGTTACGCTGCTTTACGTGCATGATAAAGGATAACACGGCCATGCAACGTGTAACGCATGTGTTCAGATGTAAGGATGCAAAGAATTATGGTGTAAAATGCGTGAAAAAGGGAGTAATAGCCGTAAAAGTACCTGAGCTGTGCAGATGTTGTGGGTTCGCGAAGTACAGCGTGGACTGGTGTTATTGTGGCGGAGGCGGTGCTGCCATCTGCTGGACTGGACAGGAAAAAAAAAAAAAAGTTAAAATTGTTTAAATAAGAACACTGATGGACGTATGTATGTATCTTGAACTGTGCGAAAACATTTGATAATATATAGGCTATGTGATAAATAGGTTAATATAAATCCTATACACAAACTAACTAGCCTGGTTATACTATTATGAATTCTAACTGAATCTGTCCTCGGTTCATAAAAACAGTTCTACCTCCACTCTTTTCCTCCTAAATCCAGTCTGTAATTCGGCATTGATTCATCACCAGGCCTGTCACAATAATATATTAGACTTTTCATTCAGTATATGAGAGCTGGAACAATAGGCCTACGGTATATTTAGGGGCTCAGTATTTATTATGTGTACATTTTTGTAAAAGTGGGGAGATTTTGAATACAAGCTGGAGCTGAAAAAGCATGAATAAGTGATGTCTATGGCTATTTATGACAAATAATCATTAGACACAGTCAGAAGTTGCAATATGAACAGCAGTAATAGTGAATACAACTTAATATTACAGTAAAGTATTAAAATGTATTTGCAGTAGTTAAAGAGGGGAATTTACACTTTTATAGGGTATTAACTGCTAAACACATAACATATTTAGATCATCCATTTTCTTCCTCATATCCGGGGCTGGGTCGTGGGGGCAGCAGTCTATGCAAGGACTCCCAGACTTCACCCTTCCCTTCACCCTGGACACTTCCTCCAGCTCCTCCGGGGGGGACCCCAAGGCATTGCCAGGCTAGCCAAGACACATAGTCCCTCCAGCTTGTCCTGGGTCTTCCCTCCTCCTGGTGAGGCATGCCTGGAACACCTCCCTAGAGAAGCGCTCAGGAGGCATCCAGAACAGATGCTCAGCTGCTTCTCTTGATGTGGAGGAGCAGCAGCTCTACTCCAAGCTCCCCCCTTGTCACTGAGCTCCTCACCCTATCTCTAAGGGAGCGCCCAACCACCCTGGGGAGGAAACTCATTTCGACCGCTTGTATCCATAATCTTGTTCTTTCGGTGATTACAGAAAGTTCATGACCAGAGGTAAGGAAAGGAACAAGGACTGACTGGTAAATCGAGAGCTTTGCCTTTCAGCTCAGCTCCCTCTTCACCACAACGGTCCGACACAGTGACCGCATCACTGCCGACGCTGCACCCATCCACATGTCAATCTCACACTCCATCTTCCCCTCACTTATGAACAAGACCCCAAGATACTTGAACTCCTCCACTTCAGGCAGGAACTCTCCACCCACCCGGAGAGGGCAAGACACCTTTTTCCGGTCGAGAACCATGGTCTGGGTTTTGGAGGAGCTGATCTTCACACTTGGCTATTTAGTTCATATTACCTTTTATTGTTTTGAAAATGCTATAGAGCTCCGGACCCCACGTGACTCACGGTGGCCAGGCCACCATTTTGGCAGTAAAAATGGATAGCGCCACCGCTGAAGCTTTCAAGCCATCGGAGTACTCAGGTCACTTTAATTTACAAGACATTGAGCTTTAGATCAAAATTAAATGGATTACACATTATGACCGTATAATGCCCCGGGGGTGTTTTTTAAAAACATTTCCATCGAAGAAGACGTCCCAGATCCGCAGTACATCGCCAAACGAACCAAAATTGGTCCGATTGACATGCCTCTGTTTCCTGGTAGAACAGCGATACCTCCAATTATCAACACCGATGTTCCCTGTTAAGACCACGGGACATCCTCATCTCAAGAGTCATCATGAACTCGTAAAACACAAAAGCACGGGTAACAGCAGGAGCAACAGCAATAAAGAGGAGCACTCACCGGTCACCGCAGCTCAGATCCCTCAGGACGGGGTCTGCGGTCTGGTCCTTGGTCTGGTCCTCCGAGCGCGTTGGTCAGATGGTCCTAAGGCTCTGTCCTCCATGTGCTGGTTCCAGACCAGTGCTTGATGGACTGGGTCTGAGCCGTTCCATGTCATCGTCTGCACGCTGGTTCCGTGCGGGAAAAGCGAGAATGCACTGTGGACTACAGGTCTGGACGGGCCACTCTGGTCCTCCGCGCTCAAGAACTGCGGCTGGTTCCGAGGTGATGCAAAGCATCCGGACAGGCGTGAATCCAGTTTGGTGGGTTATATGTTGTTCTGAGCGTCCGACCTCCGCGCTCTTGATTCCTGGGGAACGTTCTTGTCAGGCCAAGGCTCCTGACACCACTCCCCGCTCCAGCTCCTCTGGTTTGGATCTAGTCCGACTGTAGCATTTCTCACACTACGCTAAAAGCAGGACATTTTTAAAGTTGAATCAGTTGAATATGGCTATTGCCATAAAATTATTTGGTTAATTATAAGCCTAAAATAACAAATGCTGGGTGCTACTTTGGAGCCACACGTTCGCACATTGCTTCTTGCTCTGATCTTTGTGTATTACTTATCTGTATTGGAAAATTGTTGGCAAAATAATTCGGAAATGAATCGCGGCTGCGTCTGGAGAACAATCTGTTATTGCGCTGGAGTCGTACAGCACGAGTCAGCCGATCTGCCGATTACTACCAAAATGGCGACACCTAGTGCCTGGCGAGCTGGTATGACGTCAGCTCCCGGAGCTCTATATTCACCATATTAACGTATTAACATGTTTAATAACTTTGACTTTTGTTTTAACTTTTGTTTTTTGCTCTCTGTGCTAAGTTACTCCCCCTTCAGAACGCTATCACAATGCAATCATCGTGCATCCTGCTAATGAAACTACAGTACTGCACATTGCATCAGGTTTGTCAAGTTATCGTGTACAGTTTGGTAAAATGTTTTTGTATATTTATGGGGAATTTTTGAGTGCAAATAGTGCATGGGAGAGATCGCTAGATTACTGAAACATGCATGGATGGTATCTAAAACCTCTTCAGAAATGTTTTTGTTGAGAAAACAATGTTATAACACGGTGGAAAGCAAAAAAAGCTCTTTCAAAGCAACAAGGACAAAAGATAGTCAACTAAATAAGCTACATTTTATGATTATGCTAATTAGCCTCCTTATTTGTCAACAACTTTTCGTTTTCCACCCCCTTACAGCTTCTATAGTGAAAAGTGCTTATTGGTCTGACAGCATAATTACACCGCCATTTTGACCTACTCATCACTGTCAGTCCATACACTTTCCCTGCGTATGCTTTAACATTATCATTATTAATCATATTTTCCATCATTTCCATATGAAAGGTGCCAAGGGACCAGCTGGAGAACGGGTTACCTTGTGTTGAGGGACGCGGGCTGGCCGTGCGGTGACAGAATTGGGCCTTGAGTTTGATTACTAGTTAGATTTTGAAAGACGTGTTATTGAGCAAGATCCTTTGGGAATAAACTGGAAATATTAATTAGAAGGAATATGGATTTTCAATTGTTCGGAGCGTGCAAAATAGTTCAAGGCGAATGCTGCGCTAGTGTTGTAAACAGTGAATTTTTAAAGACAGGGAGAAATTGTGCGCAGGCAAAAACAGATTAAATTAAATTAAAGAAGGAATATTATGCAAAACTGACTCTTGGAGCTTTCTAACATCACATTTTTATTACATTTCCTCATCAAAAACATGCCTGAACAGGTTTTAAATATCATTCATGCAAGTTTGAGTAATTTAGTGATCTCTGTCAGGTCCTCAAAACCTCTTTTTGGTTAGCTGTAAGATTTTGCGCAACGGCCGCCCACAAACCTACAACACCCATGTTCCTACAACTCCATTCTCTATAAATATACAAAAACATGACACAAAACTGTACACTACAACTTCACAAACCTGACGCAATGTTCAGGTTTCTTTAACCCTCCTGCACCCCTCAGTACATTTTTGTACAGCTCAACTTTTCTTTTTGGCGTAATTTTGGCTATATTGCTCCAAATAGCACCAAAATTGACCAGTTTGGTATTTTGTGATGCATTTTTAATTTCTGTGCTTTTTGTCATTTTTTTTATTAATTAAACTGTCTATAATTAAAATAGTCACACCCGTGGTCTTTCTGTACATTTTTGACCCATTGACTTCCGTTCAAAATGGATTTTTTTAAACTGGCATTACTTAGCTGGAATATTTTTACTTTTTGATTCATTTTTAATTTTTTAGTGTTGGAAATTTTTAGTTTTAGTGTCTTTTTAAAATTTTTTAGATATTTTTTTTTTACTGTGTATCTTCCATTAGAAGATTATACCAATAGAAAGACATTTGTACATTTTAGACCACACTGAAATTCAAGGATGTTAGTTGAAAAATATAGAAAAAAAATCAAATTTAAAATTTTTTCTCATGCACATAATTTGAGACTTTTGCTGTCAAAAAAGGCACTTAAGAGGTTAAAATTTCAAAATATTATATAATATTTGGTATGTATGATTAGAGCAGAAGTAAATGAAAACATTGATATAAAAAAGGACCACAGGCGTGATTAGTTTTAAAGGGGTGCACAAAAGTTAAACATTTCAAAAAGATTTACAATTATTTACTATGAATTAGGAATGTATTGGCTTGAAAAACATGGGTTCTTACTGTGCACATGGTTGCCTCTCCACAGATCTGACCTGTGACTTAAGCTTAGAGGTGCTTGTCACCATGGAAATAGATATGTTTAATGTCATACTGTGGAACATTCCAGGCAAAGCAATGGGGAAACAATTGAGTGGACCAACAGAAAAGCGACCTAGTGTATCTTTAAGTGCCAAATATATTCTCTGTTTTTACCTACCACCTATCCCCACCCACACTCCTGTACTTACTTGATTCTTTTAAGTTTAGCAGTTTTTTAACAGAAGGTCAGCAGAAGCCGAGTTACTTTAGATTATTATTGCAGTTTTTAATTAACACATTTAACATAAAAATATGATTTCCCTAAATGGCTCAATAAAATAAAAATATTTCCTTAGAAACATATACTAGTTCAGTTTGATTTACACGTCGTATTTGGGTTAGTGCAGTACTTGTAAACGCCAGCAGGTGGAGATCTTGTAATAGAGAATGTGAGCT